CTGTGCGCGACCCTGCGATCCCCGGGGGCCTTCGTGGAGTTTGTTGCTCGATCTCCAAGTCCTTCGCGGAGCTTGCGGGGTGCCCGCGCAGGAGCGGCCGAGCTGCTGCGGACGAACTGGCAGGGGGCGCGCGAGAAGACCGCTTGCCGCCCTCCAGCTGCTGCTCCTCCACCCCCTCTTCCCTCATCCCTGCCTCCCCCCCGGCCGACCGGTAAACTCGGAACCTCAGCGGGCTCTGCACACGCCCCTACGGGCACAGGAGAAGCGCGCCTGTCGATCGCACAAGATGGCCCCAAAGTCCTGAGCAAGGCGGGCAAGGCACGTCGACTGCGAGGGTAATCTCCCTCAGCGCAATCATCTTAGCAACCTGCATACCACAGCTGGCTCTGACAGTGCGGACGCGGCCGAACGAGACCCTCGCAAGAAAAACAAGCATGAAAGTCCGCGCGCGAGGTGCACCTGCAGGAAGCCCTACCCGCCGGTCAGAAGAAGAGGGTAGAAACATGAAGTATGAGGCGGAAAAAATAGATTGGGTTCAGGCCCGCCCAAACAATACCAACAAACAACAAGAATACATCGATCATTGAAGTAGGCAGGCGCGTGACGTACATCGGGATCTGGGAACGACCAGCGTGAGATCAGCGCGCAGCGTGCAGCCAAGGCACCCTGACGAGCAGCATCCGGCTCGCTTTCCCCCCTCGCAGGACGACAGTGAAGCCAGGACACGATTGGCTCACGAATACGACCCAGGCCTAGCTGGCTCGATACGCAACACGCATCTGAGCAGCTAAGGCTCCAGAGTCGTTCTCGAGCAGCCCCCGATCCTGGAACACATGCGAAACGATCGGGAACCTACTCCAACTCCCTTACTAATCGTCCCCCAGATACGGTTTTTTAAGGCGCCTTTTTGTAACTGGGGAGGGTCTGGTTTATTAGGGCGCTTTCTTTGGATTGAAGCTTAGGGGGTCCGGTTTATGAAGGCGCCCCGTCGAAGAGGGGGGTCCGGAATATTAGGTCGCATTTGGAGGGAGGGCAGGTTTTTTTGGGGGGGTCGATTAAGAAGGGATTTAGAGCAGAGCAAGCTGGCACTCTTGGAGCGCGGGGCTGGAGCCGGGAGGGGCGATCCTTCCCCGCGCGTGGCCGACTCAAGCCGCGGGGGCCGGCGCCGGGAGGGGCGATCCTTCCCTCCCAGGATAGACACCGGGGGGGGCAGTAGCTTTGTGTCCAGCGCCTCGACTGTAGTCTCCCCGCGACACGACGAGAGAATCTCACCGCATGTCTGGCCGTATCTTTTATCGCAATTTTTCTCTCAACTACTAGCTTCCCGTCACGGCGCTTCGTTGCCGATGCCCGTCGTCACTGTTCTACCTTACGAAACTTGTCGCGGGTATCTATCCTTCTTCGTCTTCTAACTCACACGTCTGTTTGCGATTCGTGGTTTGCGTCCTCGTCGGAGTGTATGTATCAGGGCTCGCAGGGCTGCGAGCGATTCGTATACATGTGGCACCACGCTGTGGCAATTCCGAGACAGAACCATGCTACCATTGCATGCCGCATCAGCAAGCAATTATGCATGATGTCACGCATTCGATGCAACGGCTGCTCCACTCATGCTGGGTCGCGCTCTGGTCCCTTTATGTTATCTGGTCCCCTTTTTATGCTCGATACTTGTATTCACGATGCCGTGCAGTCTCTGCGTCGAGCAACGCAGGAGGCCGTTGTTCGCCACTCCCTGTGATATCCGACGCGTATCTACCCATTGACAACATATGTTGCAATGGTTATCTCGAAACTGCACGCGCAATCTTTAGGGTAGGGGATTGTGGTACCCTTGCCGCGAAGGCGCAGCCGCTGGCGCCACGCACCAGGCCAACCATTGACCACCTGGGCCGAACAGCTGTTTGCGCAAATCAGGTGAGGATAAGGAACCCAGTGGATAAGGAGAAATGACCACCAGGATAAGGAACCAGTGGACCACCAGGATGAGGACCAATAGGCTAAGGAATCCAGGTTGTGAAAGCCGTCTGAACTCGAATCCTGGATTGGCCATGGATATCACCGCCGCCCTCATCAAATAATTACCCTGTGACGTACCCAACCCATTTGTATCCATGGGAAACGAGGAGTTGGCCGAAACTTGCATGGACAATCAAATTGCAGGATCCGTTGTTTGATATGTAAGCTACTTGGGACACGCGCCTATGGCATGATGCGCAGGAGAACCATACAAGACCAGGGGCGACAACTACAGGCTCGAAGAGGACATGGGGAGTCGGGAACGAAGCGCAGGAGAAAGACGTGCGGGAAGCCCACTGTGCTGGGCCCCCCAGCAGGCCTCGAAAGTGGCGACAGTTTCACAGATCGCAGCCCCCCAGGGATGGTGAGGTCTAATTTCAATCCGCGGTGACTGCCCACTGTGCTGGGCCCCCCAGCAGGCCTCGAAAGTGGCGACAGTTTCACAGATCGCAGCCCCCCAAGGATGGCGAGGTCTAATTTGAATCCGCCGTGTGTACCCACTGTGCTGGGCCCCCCAGCAGGCCTCGAAAGTGGCGACGGTTTCACAGATTGCAGCCCCCCATGGATGGCGAGGTCTAATTTGAGTCCGCGGGGAGTACCCACTGTGCTGTGCCCCTCAGCAGCCCTCGAAAGTGGCGACAGTTTCACAGATCGCAGCCCCCCAGTAATGGCAAGGTCTAATCTGAGTCCGCGGTGTGTACCCACTGTGCTGGGCCCCCAGCAGGCCTCGAAAGTGGCGACAGTTTCACATATCGCAGCCCCCCAAGGATGGCGAGGTCTAATTTGAATCCGCTGTGACTGCCCACTGTGCTGGGCCCCCCAGCAGGCCTCGAAAGTGGCGACAGTTTCACAGATCGCAGCCCCCCAGAGATGGCGAGGTCTAGTTGGAGTCCGCGGTGTGTACCCACTGTGCTGGGCCCCCCAGCAGGCCTCGAAAGTGGCGACAGTTTCACAGATCGCAGCCCCCCAGGGATGGCGAGGTCTAATTTCAGTCCGCGGTGTGTACCCACTGTGCTGGGCCCCCCAGCAGGCCTCGAAAGTGGCGACAGTTTCACAGATCGCAGCCCCCCAGGGATGGCGAGGTCTAATTTCAGTCCGCGGTGGGTACCCACTGTGCTGGGCCCCCCAGCAGGCCTCGAAAGTGGCGACAGTTTCACAGATCGCAGCCCCCCAGGGATGGCGAGGTCTAATTTGAAGTTACCCACTGTGCTGGGCCCCCCAGCAGGCCTCGAAAGTGGCGACAGTTTCACAGATCGCAGCCCCCCAGGGATGGCGAGGTCTAATTTGAATCCGCCGCGTGTACCCACTGTGCTGGGCCCCCCAGCAGGCCTCGAAAGTGGCGACAGTTTCACAGATCGCAGCCCCCCAGGGATGGCGAGGTCTAATTTGAATCCGCCGTGTGTACCCACTGTGCTGGGCCCCCCAGCAGGCCTCGAAAGTGGCGACAGTTTCACAGATCGCAGCCCCCCAGGGATGGCGAGGTCTAATTTGAGTCCGCCGTGTGTACCCACTGTGTTGGGCCCCCCAGCAGGCCTCGAAAGTGGCGACAGTTTCACAGATCGCAGCCCCCCAGGGATGGCGAGGTCCAATTTCAATCCGCCGTGTGTACCCACTGTGCTGGGCCCCCCAGCAGGCCTCGAAAGTGGCGACAGTTTCACAGATCGCAGCCCCCCAGGGATGGCGAGGTCAATTTCAATGTGTACCCACTGTGCTGGGCCCCCCAGCAGGCCTCGAAAGTGGCGACAGTTTCACATATCGCAGCCCCCCAGGGATGGCGAGGTCAATTTGAATCGCCGTGTGTACCCACTGTGCTGGGCCCCCCAGCAGGCCTCGAAAGTGGCGACAGTTTCACAGATCGCAGCCCCCCAGGGATGGCGAGGTCAATTTCAATCCGCCGTGTGTACCCACTGTGCTGGGCCCCCCAGCAGGCCTCGAAAGTGGCGACAGTTTCACAGATCGCAGCCCCCCAGGGATGGCGAGGTCCAATTTCAATCCGCCGTGTGTACCCACTGTGCTGGGCCCCCCAGCAGGCCTCGAAAGTGGCGACAGTTTCCAGATCGCAGCCCCCCAGGGATGGCGAGGTCAACTTCAAGTACCCACTGTGCTGGGCCCCCCAGCAGGCCTCGAAAGTGGCGACACTTTCACAGATCGCAGCCCCCCAGGGATGGCGAGGTACAATTTCAATCCGCCGTGTGTACCCACTGTGCTGGGCCCCCTAGCAGGCCTCGAAAGTGGCGACAGCTTGACAGATCGCAGCCCCCCAGGGACGGCGAGGTACAATTTCAATCCGCCGTGTGTACCCACTGTGCTGGACCCCCAGCAGGCCTCGAAAGTGGCGACAGTTTCACAGATCGCAGCCCCCCAGGGATGGCGAGGTCTAATTTGAATCCGCCGTGTGTGCCCACTGTGCTGGGCCCCCCAGCAGGCCTCGAAAGTGGCGACAGTTTCACAGATCGCAGCCCCCCAGCTGGCACGCAGCGACGAGCGAAGGCAGGGGGGGGGGGGCGGGAAGGAAGGAAGGAAGGAAGGAGACGCGCGAGCAGTGCTCTATTCAAAACGAGAACCCAACGCAGGAGGGTTGGGAAACACACCTCTTGGGTCTGAAGCCTCCTTGACACATTCCTGAACCAGTGCCCACACCGTTTCTACCAGTGCCCGGAGCACCCACAAAACAGACAAGGCCACCTACTGGATCTTGTCGGCGAGACTGCGCCGCAAGAGCCACCCGCGAAGAAGCAGGGGAGACCTGAGCTCACGCTGCTCTGTTCTGAGATCGTCTTCGAGATTATCGCGCAGACTCGCCGAAAAATCGAAGGGCTTACCCTCAATGCTCTTCGCCATGGGTGCGGACTGGACTACTCAACCCCCCTCCCCGGAACGGAGCGCGGTCAGCGCAAAGCTCCGGTAGCGAAGCCTTGAGCCTGCGCGTTTCCATGTCCTGGTGGAGACGTCCTGGGCTCGCTGCGGTTGCCAACATGTCGAGGCCGGATTCGGTTGGCTCTCGATCTCTTTGCTGGCTGCCTCTTGCTCGCTTTCTTAACCAGTTGGCTGGGGAGCGGACGCTTGCAATTTTGGGCGTGGCTTAATGGGGGGGGTCATAAAATGGGGGGGGGGTCAGAAGCGGTCCCTTTTCGTGCCCCTTTCGGGCCCCTCAGGAGCCCCAGGGGGCTCGTTTAGGTACCGTGTGGGTAACTTTTCGGACCACCCTCGCCATCCCGCCCCCCCCGTGTATGACCCCCCCGTGACGCGACGCCCAACGACTTCGCCTTCCCGCGTCGCCGGGAGAACACCCCGGGCGAGTGGCCCAGCGGCGGAGGCGAAGCCGGCTCCACGCGGCAGATGTCGTGGCCCCCATATGGGGACTGCCAGAGGTGACCCGGGTCCAGTAGGAGGCTTCCCCGCTCGCCGCGCCACGCTGGAGCCCCCCGAGGGCCTCCTCGTGGGAGGTGCCCTGAGAGCCGTGGGGGGCCTCCGTGGAACTCCTGGGAGCGCCCAGGGCCAAGGACCAGGTCGGGCTTGTCCCCCTACAGGCGAGGTTTGAACGAAAATAAAATAAAAAACCGAAAGGTATTCAAAACTAGTGAAAACATGCTAGAAGAATCGTCCCCATACCATTTTTAAACTATTTTTGAATAGTCCTCCTGTAGAGGGGCAGGCCCGACTTAAGCCAAGGACCCAGAGATCCGATGTTCTGATTTCTTTCAGTGCGGAGCCCCTAGAAGTCCCGACCGTTCCCGTCCGTCGTTTCACCATGAATCGTTTCTTGACAGTCCTGGGGCCCGGCGAGGGCTCCTGGAGGCCGAAACCTATCAAGAATCCTCTCGCCGAGGGGGTCTGCGTCTGGCAACACCCGACCTTTCACAATCCCCCTTTGCAAAGGGGATCCCCAGCTTACCCCGGGGGAAGGGGGGAGCTTCCGAAGCCCACCCCCCACTTCAGAGGCCCAAGCTTTCCAAAGGGAGCTTCGGAAGCCCACCACCCTTTTGGAAAGAAGGGGCTAAGACATCCGGCTGCTCTGATTTTGTTCGATGCGTGGGCCCTGGAGGTCTGGACCACTTCCCCAAGGCCTGTTGTTTTGCGTCCCGGGAGTTCTTTGACGCTCCCGAGGCCCAGCGAGGGCCCCCTGAGGCCACAAACGGCCCAAAACCGCGCCGCTCATATTTTTGTCGGAGAGTCGGATCTCTGGGAGGGGGGTAGCGTGAAGCGGGCCCCCCCCTCTTGTTTAAAGCGCTTCCTCTTCCAATCCTCTTCTTCTCTTTCGGGAAGGGGTTGATCATTGTTCCCTATTGAGATACACCCCCGCCCCCAGGCGACTGGCGGCTAACCAGAAACTATGAGAGCCCCTCCCCACCAGCCCTGCCAAAAACAACACACAATGTTCTCTGCGTCCATGCGCAGCCAACCCGATGCGCCCCCCCCCCCCCGCCACCCCTGTCAAAAAAACGATACAAAGTACACTTCGGGGCAAAGTCTGGAGTCATGTTCGTGAGGCCCGCGATCACTTTGTTGTTTTTGTTGGCAGGGGCGGCGGGGGTGTCAGCATATTGCCTGCTGCGCGCAAGGCTATGTACCATCCCTGACAACACGAAGAAACAATCCAACATGCACCTCGCGGCTAAACCTGGATCGTGCACGGCCGCCCCACGATCACTGTCAAGTGGTGGCGTATGGCCTGCTGTGCGCAGGCACAACAGACACAATGATGGGCGTTGGCTTTCGACATGGATGGTGGGGGCCGGCATGTTCCGATGTGTGCTGTCACGTGCGCAGGCGCACCTGACACACTCTGCACCTGCCCCGAACGTGGCGCACGCCAGCAGCTGGAGTATGCGGTACACCTGGCGCACGCGGAGGCACGTGGCGCAGCTGGCGCACCAGGCGTGTCAGGCACGCTCGGGTCCCAGCGGTGCCTGGAGCGCGTGGCGCGCCTGGCACGCGTGGCGCACCTCGCCCCAGCGTCGCGCACATGGGCTCGGTCTTGGTTCCCATTAGCTGTCCATTCAAAGACGACCGCTGAACGTGCTGAAGCCCAGCTGTTACTTTGAGCAAGACGGCGCGCGGGCGGGTGGGTAGCTTGACCCCTCCCCTTCCCCCCCCCCCCTGGACCTGGACAGGCGGGGCGGCGACCGATTGGAGCGTCCAGTATGGCCTCGGCGAGAATGCAAAAATCAGTGGTTTTACCAAAAAAATCGGTGTTGGAAACATTGTGGTGCCAAATTCATAAACCTCTCTTCTTTGATCGATTGCCTCGCAGATGGCCCTCAGATGGCCCCGAAAGGCCCCAAGAGGTCCCCAAGAAGCTCCCAAGAGGCTCTCCCGAGGCACCCAAGAACCTCCACACGGCCCCCGTGACCTTCTCCTCCTCCTCCTCCTCCTCCTCCTCCTCCTCCTTCTCCTCTTCCTCATCCCCCTATTCCTCCTGCTCCATCCTTACCCCTCCCCCTCCCACTCCCCCTCCCCCTCCGCAGCTCCGATTCCTCCTCCATCCTCCCCCTCTTGGGGTACGGCGGCTTCCCCAGCCCTTTATTCCACTGCATGCTGCTCCACATCCCTCATCAAGGCAACTCGCCTGGGCTGGACCCCCCCAGGTACAAAAAAAGCGCCTTAAAAAACCGGACCCGGGGGATGATGAAGAAGGGATTTGGAGTATGCACCGCATTTCTTTGCTGAACTCCTCGGCTGCTGGGCCAGCTAAAAGACGTGGTGCATACGTCGGGCCACTCGGCTCGACGTCTTCTCCGCCGCCGCCGTGGCCGTCGTCGCCCTCGCAGAGCGCGCGCCCTCCGGACCCCGAGGAGGAGGGGGAGGAGGAGGAGGAGGGGGAGGAGGAGGAGGAGGAGGAAGAGGAGGAGGAGGAGGGGGAGGAAGAGGAGGAGGGAAAGAGGGAGGAGAAGGAGGAGGAGGAGGCGGGAGGCGGAGGAGGAGGAGGCAGAGGAGGAGGAGGAGGAGGCGGGAGGCGGAGGCGGAGGAGGAGGAGGAGGAGGAGGAGGAGGAGGAGGAGGAGGAGGAGGAGGAGAAGGAGGACATTCGGCACGCGCCGCGCAGGCACCCCCCCCCCTCGCGTGCTCCTCGGGTGTATCGGGTCGGTGCAGTCCGCGTCCTTCGCCGCCCGGCCGCCGCCGGCCGCCCCTCGTCGCCGCCACCGCCGCCGCCGTCGCCGACAAGGTCGTCGTGGTCGTCGTGCGTCGCCGTCGCGCGTCGTCGTGCGTTGCCGTGGCAATCGAGGACGTCGTCGTCCGTTCCTCCCTGCGTCCGTCCGTCGTCGGTCGTCGGTCGTCGGTCGTCCGTCGGTCGTCCTCGTCGTCGGTCGTCGCCGCCGCCGTCGTCGTCGTCGTCGTCGTCGTCGTCGTCGTCGTCGTCGTCGTGTCGGTCGTCGTCGACGTCGGTCTCGGTTGCAGTCGCCGTCGTCCGTCGTCGCCTCCCCACTGGATTCCTCGACAGTCTCGTCATCTTCTGATTCTCCTCTGCCGATGCTCATATTCTATGCTTCCTACCTGCTGCTCGTGGGTTCTCCTTACTGCTCTACTGTTCTTCCCATTCTTCCACTGCGCGGCAAAAATAAATGGCCCGCGCGGGAAGGCCGCGGCGACGACGACGACGGACGGGGACGAGGGTGACGATGGAAGCGAAAGGCTAGCACGACGGTGACACCGACGACAGACGACGACTGCAGGGACGAGGGCGAATAATACAGACGATGGCGAAGGACGACAGACGATAGACAACGAGCAACCGACAACGACGACGGCGACGGACGACGCCGACGAGGGACGTTGGACGACGGAACATGGACGACGGGCGACGACGACAAATGACTAACGACGACCACGACGACGACGACGACGACGACGACGACGACGACGACGACGACGACGACGACGACGACGACCACGACGACGACGACGACGACGACGACGACGGTCAAGTATCACAAGACTTGGTCCCGAGCCCCCTACGGCCTGCCCAGCGCCGCTCCTTGAAGAGCTCCAGCTCGCACACCCGCCAGCACGCCTCCCTCTCGCTGGCCGGGCTCGCGTCTGCGATGATCCACACCGGCGCGGTCACTGGCGGCCGAGCGATAAGCCATTGGTTTCACTTCTGCACCCGCATCCCCGCCCTCGTGGCCTGGCCTCTCACCCAGTGCATCTACGTCGTCGCCCGGGCCCGCGGCGCGCGGGGCCTCCGCGACAACCGCCCCCGCGTCCACTGCGCCGCGGCCCAGGCGTCGAGGGCTTCCAGCGGCGCGCAGACAGCCCCCCCGAGGTGGCCTCGGCTGGCCCCCACGGGGCCCCCGGAGAGCCCCAGCTGGCCTCAGCAGGCAGGCCCCCCGAGCCGTCCGGGGCGGCGTCCGCACCTCCACCCCCCGGGGCGCGGACCGCCCCAGGGGGGCGCCGCGGGAGGCGCCCGGGTGTGGAGACCGACCCGGCCTGCTCCATAGGGGCCCGCTGAGGTCGGCTGGGCTCCCGCGGGGGCCCGTCGAGGCCAGCCACGGCCACCTGGGAGGGCTGCCTGGGCGCAGCCCGAGCCCAAACACCCAGCTGCTCCGACTGCTTGTCGAGGCGTGGGCCCTGGATCTGGGGACCACTTCCTCAGGGGCCGGCTTGGCGCCCCCCAGGTCGCTTCTCGACTGGGGGACCACATGCGAACTCTGCCCCTGCCCCCTACGATTTCTGAGGGGGAGGTTGGGGTAGGGTTCGCATGTGGTTCCCTATCGATCGACGCTCCCGAGGCCCGGCGAGGCCTCCAGGGGCCAAAGATGCCCCCAAACAGCCCGGAAGCCCACGGCCTGCACGCCCGAGGCCCACGGACGCCCGGCGAAGAGCGCTCTTCCTCCTCCTCCTCCTCCTCCTCTCCTCCTCCTCCTCTCCTCCTCCTCCTCCTCCCCTCCTCCTCCTCCTCCTCCTCCTCCTCCTCCTCCTCCTCCTCCTCCCTCCTCCTCCTCCTCCTCCCCTCCATGCTCCATCCTCCTCCTCCTCCTCTTCCGTCTCCTTCTCCTCCTCCTGCCTCCTCCTCCTCCTCCTCCTCCTCCTCCTCCTCCTCCTCCTCCTCTGCCTGCACGCCCGAGACGCACGGCCCGCGGCTCGCTCCTCTCCGCGCGCTCGGCCACCACAGAGGCCCGCGGCGTCGGGCCCCGGGCGCCGGGCACAGAGAGCGGCGCGGGGACCCCAGGCCCCCCTGTGCCTGGCGCCGCAAGGAGCATGGAGCATGGAGATCTACGGTAGTCACGCCGCCGAACACAGCGACAAGCCCCGCTTCGCCCCTAGGGCGAATGGACGGTGGCACGGGGTAGGGGCATGACGCCTAGCGACTCGCTGCCCCGCCGACGGGACCCTGCAAGCCCATTGTTCACCCGCCGCCTGCCGAACCTTGCCAACGGCTTTGGCCGACGGGGGGCTGCACTGGCCAAGTTCACCTGCCAACGGTTTTAAGCCGTTTGCTCAAATAAGAGCAGCAGGGCAAGTATGGGTGCCAGCCGACGGGCACGCGTAAGCGGGGTCTGCCCAGGGCCACTGGCACCACCTGAGAGAACGCCGCCCGGGAGTAGACCCGAAGGCCCCATGGGACTCACGGATCACATGGCCCCGCCACTCCGCGGAAATACGCGATCCAGACTCCGCCTTTGCAGCTGACGCCGCTGCAGATGGGCCAAGGTTCAGACCCATTGCGCGGATGCAGGGGAGCCGAACTCATCCCTGTCCGCCAACGAGGACGACCGCCTTCCTACGCCAGGCCCATTGTACCAAATGCTCATGACAGTGTGCCCCGAGGCAAGTGTGGCGCTGGCACCATGAAAACAGGTGCCAGGCCCCCGCCTGGGGCCTGGCGCCGCGAGGAGGAGGAGGAGGAGGAGGAGGAGGAGGAGGAGGAGGAGGAGGAGGAGGAAGAGATGTCGACGGACAGTTTGTCGGCCCCTCTCGTCTGCCTCTCGGGGCGCTCACCGGGCGGACGGGACGGGATCGTCAGCCCCAAGGGCCTGGTGAGGATCCGGATCCAGAGACGCTGGGGAAATGGGTCCCCAGGGAGGGGTCCACACACCTGGGGGTCCACGTTGCGAACCCAGACGTCCGGCTGCTCCAACTTTTTCGATGCGTGGGACCTGGCGGTCTGGACCACTTCCCCAGGGCCAGCTTCACGCCCCAGGTCGCTTTGTTGACGCTCCCGAGAGGCCCGATGAGGGCCCCCACAGAGGCCGAAAACAGCCCCAAAACCGCCCGTTCCAATTTTTTAGCTGGAGCGTCGGATCTCTGGGTTGCGAACATGACGTCGGTGATCTGGGGATGAAGAGCCCGCCCCCATCCCCATGGACAGGAGAGCCCAGGATCGGATCGACAAGTCGGATCGGCGATCGACATCAATCGGATCGTCGGAAATCGGCAGCTGAGTCGGGAAGAATCGGATCGGCAGAAATCGGCAACCTAGTATGCCTCCAATAATAAATCGGAACTCAAATCGGAATCCCAGATCGAATCGAATCGGAAACCATCGAAATCGAATCGAATCGAATCGAATCGGAGGAATCGAAACGAGCCCCATGGACGGGGCCGAGGTGCAGTCGGGGGGCTCGCGTCCTCCTCCACCCCCCTGGCCAGAAGCACGGCCCTCCTTTCCTGTAAGGCCGCCCCCTGGCTCGCAGAGCCCACCGACCAGCCGAGAGTCGAGACGACGACCACGACGACAACGACGACGACGACGTCGTGAACGCTTACGACGCCGGAGCTGTGCGCTCCCATGAGCTGTTGCGCAGTCTCGCGTGATCACCAGATCGCCAGGTCTGATGAAACATCGTCTCGGTCTCTGAAGCTCAATGACCCTCAGCAATGGCGCCCAGGCATCCAGCGTCTCGATCTGAGGCACGGGCCCCCGAACTTTCCACCACTCCCCCGGGACAGGCTTCTCATCCCCAAAAACATTCTTTGAAGGCCCCGAGGCCCTGTAAGGGCCTCGGGAGGGCGGAAACTATGATAACTCTCTCTGTCTCGATTTGTTCGGAACGCTGGATGTCTCGGTCCCCAGACCTCCGAGGTCATGTTTTTTTCATTGCGTCGACCCCCCGAGAACTCGACTTATTCCCAAAAGCGGTTTTCGTCCCGAGTCGTTTTTGACGGTCCCGAGGCCTGGCATGGGCCCCCGGAGGCCGAAAATGGCGAAAGACCTCTCGTCGTGATTTTTGTCATTGCTCGAAGGGTCTGGGTCTCTGGAGCATGACCCCCAGCGGGGGTGTCCGATACCCCAGTCGTAGCCAGCTCTCGGCCACCCGCGAGACCGCCCCACCCCCGCTGGTGGACGAGCTGAAAACGGGCCCGCGCCTGGCAGCGCGATCGGCAGGTCCGGCTGGGATGCCCGGACAGCGAAGGCGATCAGGGCGGCGAAGAGGTACCTTACAGGGGCCCAGGGGGGCGCAAACAAATCGATACAAATTCCAACATTTCCCGTAGATTCCAATAAAGTGGAGGCCCGACCACAAGAAACCGAACCCTGAGACCCCTGGACGTCCATCGATTTGTGGCGTGGGAGCGTCGCGCCTTCCACAGCAAAACCATCGAAACACAATAAACCCAAGAAACCCTGGAGGCAAGCAGGGTGTTTCTTGGCATGGGCCCCCAATGTATGTCTTGGACTGTCCGCCCCCCATAGAATTCCCATGTTTCCCACAGTTTCATGGGATCCTGCATTTGTTGGTGTGTGTGTGTGTGTCTATGTTTCCCTCCTGGCACCTGCGCTACAAGATCAACGAACGTCGGATCGGGAAACCGAATCGAATTGGAATGCGTGTCGGATCTGGCTGCGTCAGCACGGACCACCAAGAAGCGCCCACGAGATACCCCAGGAGGTTCCGAGAGGCATCCAATAGACCTCTGGCCCTTTTGTTTGCCCTCCTCCTCCTGCTCCTCCTTCCTCCTCCTGTTCCTTCTCTCCCTCCTCCTCCTCCTCCTCCTCCTCCTCCTCCTCGTCCTCCTGCTCCTCCTCCTCCTCCTCCTCCTCCTCCTCCTCCTCCTCCTCCTCCTCCTCCTATTCACCCTCCTTCTCTCCACTCCCTCATCCATCCATCCAGCCTCCTCCTTCTCCTCCTCCCTCCTTCGCACGGTTCGGCCATACCCCTCTTTGCTCCCCACTTCGCTGATCACCTCAACTCGCCTGGACATCATTTCTGGATGGGCTGGTGGGGATACGCGAAGCGAATAGAATATACAATTTCCTAAAGGAATGGGGCGATGTTTGCTTATTCGGGGCTCTCTTAACGGCCTCTTGGGGCGTCTTGGGAGCCGCTTTGGTCGTCTTCAGACCATCGAGGTTCCTCTTGGAGCGCTCTTGTGCTGTCTTGGGCCTATCGTGCGCCTTTCCGATGATCCCTCTGATCGCCTTGAGTCTGCTGGCAAGGCCCGGCAAGGCACCCTGGGAGGCCCGGAAGAGCCAGCGGACCATTTCCGAGGGCGTCCAGGGGGCCGCCGAGACGTCCAAAAAGGCAGCCGGAGCGTCCCTGGAGGGTGGTCCAGTTTAGTTGGGGGGGCGAGGGGGGGTTCTGGGTAATAAGGTACAGGAATAGGAATACGGTCGGGAACTTTGCCAGGCGTGTGGCGAGGGCGGCCCCGGCGACACGCCACACCCCGCGAGCGGATACAGCGTGCCGCTCCGCTCCACGGGGCGGGAGGCTTCGAAAGGATCAGGACGCCTTGGGGGCTGGGACGCGGCCAGCGTGTGGCGCCGAAGCGTGGTGAGCCAGAACGCGCGGCTCGACACCCAGTGCAAACGTCCAGGCCCGTATACGATCCAGCTGGTACCCCAAGGAACGCCGAACAGGAGACGGAGTCTCATGTTTAGTCCCGGCAGCGTCTGGGTGTACGAAGAGCTAGAGGAGCACCCATGGAAGGACCGGAGGAACCCCTTGCGCACCCAAACTGCTCCTTGTTTGAGAAGCATGACTGTACGGATGCAGGGCAACGACTGAGCTCGCTCGCGGCACTGGCATCCTCCTCCTCACCCGCGCACCGCATATGGTTGCGTGTGCCGTCTGTCCGTCCCTTCCTCGGCCTCTCCTCATGAGTGTTGTCCACAACGGTCAGCCATCGAGGGCTACAGTGGAGGGCAGTCCACAAGAAACCTTCCACAAGAAACCCAACCCTGAGACCCCAGGGCATCCATGGAGTTTTGGAGAGGGAGCGTCACGCTCTCCATCGCAAAAACATCGAAACCCAAGAAACCCAGGGCACCCTGGAGGCAAGCAGGATGCTTCTTGGCATGGGTCTTCACTGTAGGTGTTGCGTGTGCCGTCTGTCCGTCCCTTCCTCGGCCTGTCTCCTCATGAGTGCTGTCCACGACGGTCGGCCATCGAGAGGGCTAATGCTCTTGAACGTGCGGCGAGGGCCCCTCCAGAAGGTCCACAGGGCGAAAGGCGGGACTGGTGGCGGTGTCGGTGTCTTGTCCTCCTATGGACCTTTCCGACCCTCCATCCCCCTCCTCCTCCACCTGGCCCTCAGGGGCGACGATGGGAGGGGACTGGCCTGGGGGGGGACACATCGACCTGGCAACTGCGACACACCGCCGATGGATCGGCGACAGGCCTCCGATGGCGAAAACGCGCACGCTCCTGGGCCGGGGAAGGCTGCCCAGGCCCCATCGGCGATGACCGGGCGATCGGGGGCCGATGCAACCCCCCTGAGTCTCCCTCCCGCTGCACGTTGCGCATGAGCCGGGCCCCCCAGACCGATACACACACACACACACGAGAGAGCGCGCTTCACGGGCGCGTGCCCTGGGAAACCTCGGCGGCGCGCCTCGAACCAGGGTGTGGGGGGGGGGGGGTTCGACCACCCCCCCCCCTCCATCCAGGGGGGCGGGGGGTGTCCGGTTCCAACCCCCACCCCCCCTCCCTCCCCAGACCACCGACGCCATGATTTTTTCATGACGCGGCCCCCAGAAGTCCGGACCCCTTCCCCGGGACCGTTTTTTCATCCCGAGTCGTCTTTTGACGGTCCCGAGGCCCGGTAAGGGCCCCCAATGGCCGAAAATGGCGAAAAACTTCTCGTCGTGATTTTTCACGACCCGAGGGGGTCTGGGTCCAGGCGACCACAGAACGCGCGCTCTCACACGTACGGTCTCACCGCCGGCGGGGCGGCGGGGCGCATGCAGCAGCTGCAGCACCGCGTCTCCCAGTGCCGCCTGCGGCGCCCGGCCTGCGACACGTCCTCTCGGGACGGCGGCCGCGCGGCGCACGCGGCGGGCTATTTGGAGGCCCTGCACCGCAGGGCACCGCAGGGCCTCCCATTGGCGGGGCCGCTATCCTTCCGCCATGGCTTCTGCAGCCCTCCGCCGGCGAGGGCGCCCTCGTGCTACTCTTGGTGAGAAGGCGAGAACCCACCCCCACCCCCAGTCCCGACTCCATCCCCGAACCCGCGATTCAAGGAGTCGGGACTGGGGGTGGGGGTGGGTCTTCGGGGTCCAGGAATGGAGAACCCCCCCCCCCACCCCCAGTCCCGACCCCTTGAATCGCCGGCTCGGGGATGGGCGTCGGGACTGGGGGTGGGGGTGGGTTTTCGCCTTCTGGAATGGGTCGGGCTTGTCCCCCTTCAGGCGGATCTGGGGCGAAAAAGAAAACACCCCTCGAACGACGCTCCAACAATTCTCAGAACTGGTAAAACAAGTCGTCCCCGTACTGGTTGTGCCAATTTTGGAATCGTCCTCCTGTAGAGGGACAGGCCCGACTTAAGGCGAGCTCCGAAGGCCCGGCACCGCACGGCCTTCCTTGGCGGGGCCGATCTCCTTACTTCCGCCAAGCCCTCCGCCGGCTTCCGACGGCGGAGGCGCCGCCGTTCTGCTTTTGGGTCGGGGCTGGCTCCCTACGGGCAGACTTTGGGCGAAAAATGAAAAATGCTCAAAACAGACCCCCAACAAGCTCAAACATGGTCAAAGCATCGTCCCCATATGATTCTTGGTTGGACTACTTTTGAACATTCCTCCTGTAGAGGGACGCGCCCGACGTAAGGCCGATCCTTCCTTCCGCCAGCCTCCCGCCGGCGGCCTCCGACGGTGGCGGCGCCCTCGTGCTCCGCTGCCGCCGCCTGCTGCCTGCCTGCCGCCGAGGCGGGGCTGTGCCCACAAACCTCCTTCGGCACTCGCAGAGGAGGCCCCCTCTCTGGAGCCCGCCGCGCATGCTCGACGAGCGCGCTCCACATGCTCGCAGAGCAGCTGCTCGCCGATGGCCTGGATCCCCCGCGGGGGCTCTACGACACACTACGCCGAGGCAGACCTGCGCTTTGCGGACGTCTGCGAGCAGGCACCCTGCGAGCAGCGGAGCGCGCTCGGCGACACGCGCTGGAGCGCGCGGGCCCTCGGCCGAAGCAGAAGCTGCAGAAGTGGTGGAGCGCCTCGCGCTCGCAGGCCCCGCCCGGGGAGTGCCTGCTGCGTCGTGCGCGTCGACGCTGGCGAGCGCCGCGTCACGGTCATGTCTCTGCCCCCGCTGTCTTGCGCTCGACGCCACTACCGACTACCGCCTTCCACACAGCGCTCTTCCCATCGGGCCACGCTTCCCCAACACAGTGCCTGCACTCAAGGTCTCTTACTTCCCAGACCCCCAGCGTCATGATTTTTCCGTTGCATCGACCCCCCGAGGACTCGCCCTGTTCCCCAGGACCGGTTTTCAACCCCGAGTCGTTTTTAAGGGCCCCGAGGCCCGGCAGGGGCCCACGGAGGCCGAAAATGGTGAAAAACCTCCCGTCGCGATTTCTTCATTACTCGAGGGGCTCTTGCTTCCCTGACTCCAGATCCGCCCTACTTTGGGGAAATCGTAAGTAGGGCTTGGAATTTCCGCCTTACTTTTCAAGCCCCGCTGATGCCAATTTCCGTCCTACTTTTCTGCTGCTGTTTCCGCCCTACTTCTGTGGATTTCCGCCCTACTTTATGCTGGGTGCAGAAATTTCCGCCCTACTTTTTCGGCTCCTTATAGGTAGATGTCCGACGCAATTTTAAGTTGGAAAAAAGCCAAAGTGGGGCGGATCTGGAGTCAGGGTTGTCTGAAAGGTAGCTGATCTCCGGTGCCAGCGTGGCCAGCTCGTCGCCGCCCGCCGCCGCCGCCGTCGCCGCCGGCAGCTGGGCCCATGGTGCTGGTCCGGCCAGCCCGTCACCCCTCGTCGCCCCCGGTCGTCGCCGCTGGACTGCTTCGCACTGCAGTCGTTACGTATCGCGTTGCATTGCTTGGCAATCGCAGTGCATTGCGCTTCTTTACGTTGCATTGCAATCGCATTGCAGTCGCATTGCAGTCGCATTGCATTGCATTGCATTGCATTGCTTCGCACTGCAGCCGCATTGCAACCGCATCGCAAACGCATTGCATTACGTTGCAGTGCTTTGCTTTGTATTGCTGTGCACTGCTTTGCAGTACTTTGCAATGCCTTGCATTGCTGTGCATTGCTTGGCATTGCGTTGCATTGTGTTGCATGGCGTTGCATTGTGTTGCGTTGCTTTGCGTTGCAACCGCATCGCTTTGCATTGCTGTGCAGCGCATGGCTTCGCGCCAAATAGGTGGCACCACATGGGTTGCACCATCTATGTTGAATCGCACTGATTGTGCTACACAGACTGCTCAGCAATAAAAATGCGAGAAATCGCTGTTTGGGGCCCACGCTGACCAACATCGACTCTTCGACGTGGACCTCTCGCTGCGGAGATGGCCACATCTCAGGATCCGTGCGTGGCTTCCGCCGTGCCGAACGACGCTCTCTCCCCAAGCACGGGCCATGCTTCTGGATCCGATGTCTTCCCTCGTGTTGCCGCCCACCTCTGCTCTTCTCCTCTGCCTTCCCCTCCCCCTAGTGAGCCTCCTCCTCCTTCATGCTGCTGCTCCTCCTCCTCCAATCTGCGATCGCCCGCCACCCCCCCCTCGCCGATTGGACGGAAAATGTGGCGTCAAATCGTGCGACTGCCATTCGAGGACCAAGGCCATCTATAGAACACCCCGCCCGGCGGAGAGAAGAGGACCCAGGGGCCATGCGAAGGGACGGGCGGGAGGGGCAGGGCGTCGAACGTGGCGCGAGCGCACACTTACAAGGCAGTTGTTTTAATACATGGGATTTTGAAAAATATCGGATGTTTTAATACATGATTAGCTTATGAATAAAATTATGCATGAACTCATCGTTGTTCTTGATACTAAATCCCTGCATTTTTCATACGTGATCCGCACGCGGAGCATATATATATATATATATATATATATATATATATATAACAAACGGCACTGTAGCTCGCCCCCCTCTCCCCCCCCTCGCGCGACTCGCACGACCGAGGCGCGCCCAGCCACTCCACGAGGCGGCCGACGCCCGGCCTCGGCACTGGGAACCAACCGCCCTTGGGACCAGCCCCGGGGGGCGGGGGACGCGGGGGCAGGGCTGGGGGCAGGAGGGCCTCTGCCCTCTCCCCTCTCCCACTTGCCGCTGCCCCCGCGCGTGCCTTCTCGGAAGCCCCGCCGCCTCCCTGTAGAACTGTAGGTCGGGCGTGTTCTCCGACGGGCGGATGTTGGACGAACAAATGAAAAGATTCAGGAGATAACCCAAACACATTCAAATATAATCGAATGTCACCAGAGAAGAACCCAATCAATTGATGGTTTTCGCCGAAGAGATCGACCCAAAACCCGAAATCGGCCCGGAACCAATAACCGGGAACCCGGGAACCCGGACCCGGGAAACCAGCCTGCTGCAAAGATCGGTGGGAAACTTTCGCCAAATCTGTCAACTTCCGCTACAGGGCCCCTCCAGTGCAAGCACTGATTGGGCAACATGATCAGCAAATCGTCGTTATGCTTTTGGTTCGCTATTTCTGAATTTTCCTCCTGTAGAGTTAAGTCGGGCCCGTCTCCCATACAGGGGGATTTTCGGCGATATATATATATATATATATATATACACTTACAACCAAAAAAAAACATCAAAAATCATCAAACAATAGTCCAAAAATAGTCTGGGGACTATTTTGAATTGTTGTTCCACCTTTGAGGTTTTTTTTTAAATTGCTTTTTCAATAAAAAAAATGTTCGTCGAAAATCCCCCTGTAGGGGGACAGGCCCGACTGAACTGTAGAACCCTGGAAGCCCACCCCGCTCCTCGCGCCACCCCCTGGGGGGGGCGCCGCGGCCCGCCCCCCTCCTCGTCCGCAGCGGGGGGGGGGCATGGCACTGCGCTCTCTCCGCCCAGCTTCTCCCCCGCCCTCCTTCCTCCTCCCTCCTCCCTCCTCCCTGCTCCCTCTTCCCTCCCTCCTCCCTCCTCCCTCCTCCTCCCTCCTCCCTCCTCCCTCCTCTCCTCCCTCCTCCTCTTCCTCCCTCCTCTCTCTTCCCTCCCTCCCCTCCTCGTCCTCCTCTTCCTCCTCCTCCTCCTCTCCCTCCCTCCCCCTCCCCTCCTCCCTCCTCCTCCTCCTCCTCCGCCTCCCTCCTCCTCCTCCTCCTCCTCCTCCTCCTCCTCCTCCTCCTCCTCCTCGGGGCGGACGAAGACGAGGGGGACAGATGGGAGGGGTCGGCTCATGGCCCGACCACAAGAAACCCTTCACAAGAAACCCAACCCTGAGACCCAAGGACGTCCATTGATTTTTGGTGTGGGAGCGTCACGCCTTCCGTCGCAAAACCATCGAGACCCAGGGTACCCTGGAGACGAGCAGGGTGTTTCTCGGCATGGGTCTCTCCACTGTGTAGACGCTCGGGGCGGACCAAGGTGAGGGGGAAAGATGGGGAAAGATGGGCTGGGTCGGCTCACGGGGGAGAAACCCCAGGCCGGACTCGGCGATACATCGCAGTTAGATCGGCGACATGCCCCCGAGAATTCACGAAAGCGCACGTTCCCTCCCGGGCGGGGTGTGGTCTCGCGCCCCGATCTGCGATCCATGGGCGATTGAGGATCGATGCATCCCCCCCTGAACCCATCCCGCTCTGACTGACTTTGCCCCCGAATAGATAGGGTGGTAAGGAGTAAGGCTTAGCGAAGCACCTCGCGTAATCATCCAGCCGGTTTTCCAGGCGCCTCCCAGCGTCAGAGGCGCCCGTGCATGGGGGAAAGCGCCCGCAGGCGGGGCCAAAGCCAGCCTCACGCATCAGTTGTCGTGACCCCCCTCCTCCCAATCTCACCGGCTACACGCAAGAGTGACCCGAGGGCAAGAGTGACCTTTGGATACTTTTGGTGCTTGGCTTAAGGTTGAGTCTGTCGCGGGCGGCAGGTCTGGAGGTGGACCTGGACGCCACGACGGATGACCATGAGCCGTGAGCGCTTGAGCCGTGAGTCAACTCCATCTGAGTGAAAGGATTTGGCCGTCAACTCCATCTTCGGGAAAGGATTTGGGCGTTATAGGGGAGGCGCTGGGGGGACAACCCCAGATGCGCAGGCCGCTGTCCATCGCCCTCAGACGTCGGAGCACCCAACTGACCCCGCACCCAGAGGTCACTCCAGCGAGAGGTCACACTTACGACTTACGTTTAGCTCCGGCGTGTCCCCTGGGCGAAAAATGAAAAATTCACCAAACATGCACCAAAATGGTAAAACATACGAAAAAATCCTTCCAAAACTATTTTTTGACTATTTTTGAATATTCCTCCTGTAGAGGGATAGACCCGACTTAACGCAATTGACCCCGCACCCAGTTGTCACTCCAGCGAGAGGTCACACTTACGACTTACGTTGAGCTCGGGCGTGCCCCCTGGGCGAAAAATTAAAAATACCCCCTCCCCCCAAAAAATACACCCAAAATTGTCAAACATATTCAAGAGTCGTCCCAAAACTATGTTTTGACAACTTCTGAATATTCCTACTGTAGAAGGACAAGCCCGATTTAACCCAATGGACCCCGCACCCAGAGGTCACTCCAGCAAGAGGTCACACTCACGACTTACGTTGAGCTCGGGCGTGTCCCCTGGGCGGAAAATTAAAAATACCCACGGACAAAATACCCCAAAATGATGAAACATACTCAAGCATCGTCTCAAAACTATTTTTTGACTACTTTTGAATATTCCTCCTGTAGAGGGACAGGCCCGGCTCAACCCAATGGACCCCGCACCCAGAGGTCACTCCAACGCGAGGTCGCACTTACGACTTGCGTGCCTTCGACCTCCGCGTGCCGCCCGACCCGCTCCCTGGCACGGCCTCCCCTCCCGCCGCCACACCTGGCCCGCCAAGGCTTGGCGCCTCACCCCCTCTCCTCCGCCGCCCTCGCCGCCCTCGCGACTCTGCCGCCGTGCCGTGTTCGATGGGCCTGTTTTCCACCACCACCACCAGAAGATGGAGGGGGGACGGAGGTGGAGGAGGAGGATGAGGAGGAGGAGGAGGAAGAGGAGGAGGAGGAGGAGGAGGAAGATTTCTCCCCCTCCTACTTCTGGTGGTGGTGGTGGTGGAAAACAGGCTCATCAGTGTTCACGCCTCCCTGCCCCGGGAGCCCCGACGCGGAAGCGCGACGGCGTAATTAAGCCGAGAAGCAGCGTGGCCAGGACCTCTCGATCGACTCCCTCGAAAGGGGGTCCCGGACCCCAGGTATCCGCTCGCTGCCCTGCGCGCCGGGCACAAAGAGCGTTCGCTGGACGGATCGTATGCTGCCCGATTTCCCGGAAGGCATCCTTGCCATCACCCAGACGTCCATGTCCCAGACATTGTCTGACTTGGCCAGAAATTCTGGCGCAGGCCTTAGGTCTGGCATTTCCCCCAACAGGCGGGTTTTAGACGAAAAAACAAAATCCAAAAATAGTCCAGAAATGCTCAAACATGAAAACATCGTCCACGACTATTTTTTTACTATCTCTGAATATCCCTCCTGTAGAGGGACGCGCCCGACTTAACGCTGGCCTCACCGAGAAAACTGTGCACGTATCCGAGCGAGGCTGAGCATGTGCATGATATACTGCATGATATAAGCCTGGGTGGGGCAGCTGGAAAAGTGAGCGTTTTTTTATTCGGCATTTCGACATTGGGCGGCAAGGGAAGGGGGGGAGGGGGGGGGGTCTGGCTCCAGACCTCTGCTTAGTGCGACTGTTTGGGACCGTACGTCCTCTGGGGGAGGCCCCACCTGCTCGAAACAGGCGCCAAAAAACAGCCAAGATCCACTCCAGGGGGGGGGAGTGGGGGGGTGCGAGGGCCCGCGCCGATCAGCAAAACAAGGAATAACAAACGATCACAAGTCACAAGACCAAACAATACTGATACCGCTACTCCCCAGACCTCTCCCGGGACACGTTCTGACCAGAATCTCGAGGCGAGTCCGGCGGTGGCGACGAGTGCCTCCCAGGAGGCTCAGAGAAGCGGAAAACGAGGGAGGCATGGGCAGCGGTGTGTCAGTACCTGTTCCTTCTCTGAGCAGTTTTGGTAGGTGGATCTCTCATACTCTCCGCCGCCTCTGGCGGTGTGCGTTGCGAGCAGGAACGCAGCAAAGCCACAGGAAAGCGCGGCATGGACAGAGCAGTTCCGCACGCGTGACAAATGTTAACGAGCAGGAACACAGCATAATCCCAGGAGGACTGGGCCCCTCCCAGGTGCACCACCTGCTCTCTGCTGGCTCCGTGCGCCAGGGCGGCTTCCGAATCTCTCGCCGCCCTCCTCGTCCTCCTCCACCTCGTATTGGGCCCTCGTCCTTATTCCTCGTCCCCCTCGTCCTCGTCCTCGTCCTCGGCTCGGCCCAACCTCGTCCTCGTCCACCTCGTCTTGGGCCCTCGGGCCGCCCGGCTCCGTTCTCCCTTCTCCTCAACCCTCCACATCCATTATCTTCTCCTCCTCCTCCTCCCTCCTGCTGCGTCCCTTCCTCACTGCTCTCCTCCACTTCTATCATCAACTACATCATCCTCCTCCTCCTCCTCCTCCTCCTCCTCCTCCTCCTCCTCCTCCTCATCATCATCATCATCATCATCATCATCATCAGCATCAGCATCAGCATCAGCATCATCATCATCATCATCATCATCATCATCATCATCATCATCATCATCATCATCATCATCATCATCATCATCATCCACTTCCGTCCTCCAATTCCTCCTCCTACCCTTCCTCCCCCTCCTCATTCCCCCCCAGCCGCTGTCCAAATTCTCCCACAGCTGCAGGCTTGGATCTTGGGCGGGCTCCACTAGAACCTGATCCAGCGGCCGCTTGGGTGCTCGAGGGGACGGCAAAGACGTGGACAACGAGGATGAGGCCAGCAAGGACAAGCTTCACACTGGAGAGACCAGGGTCGCGCACCGCGCCCCACGATGCACGACGCGCGATTCTCGTCGCGCCCCCTGGTCGCCTCCTGCCAGAACAGGGCAGCCGCTCCGGCCCAGACCGCGACGCGCGAGAAGCGCGAATACCTCCGCGCCCGAAAGACGAGACGAGCGGCAGGAGGAGCAGCACGAGAGAGCACTGCTGCGCCGCTGACAGGGCCGCGCACGCGCACGCGGCGCTCGCACGCGGCGCCGCGCGCGGCCCCGTGTGCCGTGCCGAGGGGCGGCGGCGGCGGCGGCACGCGGAAGGCCGGCGCGCCAGGGAGGTGCCCCTCCCCCGACTCCGGATCCGCCCTACTTTGGCTTTTCTTCTAACTTACAATTGCGTCGGAAATCCACCTATAAGAGGCCGAATAAGTAGGGCGGAAATTGCTGCACCCAACATAAAAAAGGGCGGAAATCCACAGAAACAGCTACAGAAAAGTAGGGCGGAAATTGGCATCAGCGGGGCTTGAAAAGTAAGGCGGAAATTCCAAGCCCTACTTACGAATTTCCCCAAAGTAGGGCGGATCCGGAGTCAGGGTCCCCCTCGCCATCGCTCGGACGTCCACTCCCTTGTGTTTTTGTTCTCGCCACATGATCAAGGATGCTCTTCGATGGTCCTCGCCGGAGGAAAGATGCACACGTCCGAGCGATGCGAAGCCCCAGAATCCTGCCGGCATCTGCTGGTCGCGACCAAGATCGGCCGCTACCGATTCCGCTTCAAGAGTTGGGTCGGGCATGTCCTCCTACAGGCGGATCTTGGCCGAAGAGGAAACAATAGCCAACAAACATACGCCAACATAGTTAAGAATTGTGAAACATCGTCCCCTGACTATTTTTTGACTATCTTTGAATATTCCTCCTGTAGAGGGACAGGCACAACTTAACTTTCGAGCCTGGCATCGGTCGCGGTCGATCTGCTTCAACATCGGTCGGTCGACCAGTCGCGAGCGCATTCGGAAGCGGTCGCGATCGGTCGCGGCCGACCCAGAGACTCGGTGGCGGCCAGGAGGGGGGTGTCCAAGAGGGGGGGGGGTGCAAATCATGGCCGGCGGCACGTGCTCGGCCCGAGGGGGGGCCAGGGACGCAATGAAACAAGAAGAGGCGCCATGAAAACTGGGGGAGTATCATGGCCCACGCCATGATATCCCCCCCCCTGGTCATCACTTTTCCCCCCCCCTTGCCGCCCCCGAGAGACATGCGGCTGCTCCAATTTGTCCGATGCGCGGGCTCCGGAGATCTGGACCGCTTCCCTACGGGGCCGGCGCCTCCTTCCGGGCCGCTGCCTGCACCTCCCGAGGCCCTGGCGCGAAGGCCCCCCGGAGGCCGAAGACGGCCAAACGCCCGCCGCTCCAACGCTTGCTCGGAGCGTCGGATCTCTGGGCACCTCGGAGCGCCGACCGGCCGCTGCCGACCGCGGCCGAAGAACCGCCGGCAGGTATAGCCAAGGATCCCTGGCGTGTGCGATGGACGGCGCGCGTTGCACTCAGGTCGGGCGTGTCCACCTGCAGGCGGGTCTTGGACGAAAAATCAAAAAATAGTCAAACAAATACGCCCACATGGTCAAAATAGTCAAAAAATCGTGCCAAAACTAATTATTCTGAGACTATGTTTGAATATTCCTCCTGTAGTAGGGCGTGCCCGATTTAACGTTGCACGGGGCCGGCTCTCTTGAGGGAGGCTCCTGCGAGAGTCGTCCAGCGCGGGCGGGGGGTCCTTCGCCGAAGGCCCGTGGCCCCGTGGAGACACTCAGAACCAACTCAGCACGAAGAACCGAAAGGCACCCCTCCTCCTCCTCCTCCTCCTCCTCCTCCTCCTCCTCCTCCTCCTCCTCCTCCTCCTCCTCCATTCCTTCTCCTTTTGATTCATGTCTCCCTGCCGCACCCCAGCCAGTTTTTAGGGCGGGCTGGGCGTTTCGCGTGAGACTTCCTCACCATTTATGACCCTGAGGCTTTAAAATTGGCAACAGCTTCACAGATGGAGGGCGGGCCGTTTTCAAAGTGTGGCCCTCGCCTTAGCGCCGCGCACATTCGTTATTTAAAGGTTGCAAGAGCTTCACGGATTGAGGGCAGTTCCTTTTCAAAATGTGGCTCTCGCCTTAGCGCCGCGCACATTCATTTTCAACAGTCGCAAGAGTTTCGCGTTTTGAGTGCGGTTCCTTTTCAAAATGTGGTTGTCGCTTCAGCGCCGTGCACATGCGTTTTCAAACTTTACAAGAGTTTCACGGGTTGAGGGCGGGTGGTTTCCAAAATGTGGCTCTCGCTGAGAGCCGCGCACATCCGTTTCCAAAATTCGCAAAAGTTTCATTGGTTGAGGACGGGCCGTTTTCAAAATGTGCTCTCGCATGGTATAGTTGCATCACAGGCAAAAGTGTCGTGGGTATCCTTCAAACGGACACTCTCTGACTAGACATTGACGGGGGGGTCGATGAGTTGTTTGGGTGATTTGGGGGGGGGGGGGGGGGGCGGCGCATGACATTCAGAGCGCGTGTTTGGCGCGCGTTGGATGGCCGCGCATCAGTCAAAACCTTTTTCGGCGCAGGCAAAAAAAATGGATTTGAACCGCCGCCCCTTTGGGGGACTTCGGTGGATCTCCCTATGGGGACGCGAAGCGCGCGAAGCGTGCCGACAGGCCCAAACACATAAACAAATAATTAGGAGGAGGTGGAGGAGGAGGGGGAGGAGGAGGAGGAGGAGGAGGAGGAGGAGGAGGAGGGAGGAGGGAGGAGGAGGGAGGAGGGAGGAGGGAGGAGGGAGGAGGGAGGAGGAGGGTGAGGAGGAGGAGGAGGAGGAGGAGGAGGAGGAGGAGGAGGAGGAGAGGAGGAGGAGGGGGAGCATCGTCCTCGTCCTTTTCCTCTTCATCCATCCACCTCCTTTTTCTTTTCCTCCTCCTCCTCCTCCTCCTCTCTTCCCCCTCCTCCTCCTCTTCCTCCTTCTCCTCCTCCTCCTCCTCCTCGGCCTCCTCCTCCTCCTCCTCCTCTTTTTTTGGCAGCAACGCCCATGCCTCCTGCAGTGACCGACGCACCTGCCCGAGGCTCAAACAGGCACCGAGGAACCAAGCTCCTAAAGTAAAGCGACAAAGTCGTCAATGTCAACCGTCACCTGAGCCTTGTCAGGATGCAAGCCCTTCTTGAGCTTGCGCAAGTTGCGCATTGACGTGACTGTGGGCTGGCCACACTCTTTGCCGAGCTTTATAATTTGCGAGCCACTACTGTAAAACTTGCATGACAAGCAAACAAACAAATTCGAGCGATCTGAGCAGGGGAAGGCAACGACCTTATGCCCCAACCTCAGCAGCACGCCTTGGTCCAACCTGGAGTGTCCTGGACAGTCCCCAGGAGGAGGGCAAACTCGGCACTGCCAGAAGGACCCAACCCGCGCCCACGAGTGCCCAACATCAAGAGGAGGGTGACGAGGAGCGGGAGGGGGCCTGGACCTGGCGGCGCCTCGAAACTCAAGACGCGGCCACAATTTTGTGCACAATGGCAGCAGAACAGACCCAGCTTTTAAGACCAGCCGCGCTATCTTGATCTTCCTATCGAGCTCATCAGCCTCAACAGGAGTCAAGGAGGGGTGCAATCGTGCCGCCTCTTTGGCAGCCTGGTCAGCAAAGTGGTTGCCTAGTCTTCTGAAACGTTCACTGGCCGAAATGCCGCTTTCATCGACATCCTTGTGGGCCGAAACTTTGTGGAGGGCGCACAGGTTCCTTCCAAATTGGTGCTTGCCTTGCAGCACAAGACCTGTGTACTGCCTCTTGCCACAGAGCGCATCAGCACCGAGCGCCACGTGGTCCACAACATTTTGACAGTCACTGTAGCACACGGACTGGGCATCGGCATAGGCTCCACAGAACGCGAACGCAGCATACTCGGCGGCCTGGGGAGTCTGAGGCCAAGGGGCCCACACAGGCCCCTTCAGGAAACCTAGGAGCTCGCCATCTTTCCCCACCATGGTCACAGCCCAGCCCGCACGCGACAGTTCTTTCACCACATGCCTGTGGCAAGAGCCGTCCATAAACAAATATCTCCACATGCTATCCCCAGGAGCCACCCTGTCAGCACCACACGCAGGAGGAGGAGGAGGGAGGTCCTCGACATGCCACACAAGAGAGACACCACCATCACACAGAGGTCTTGGGGCAACATCTCTTGGGTGACGGAACGCCCCATACATAAAGAGCTCTTCCTCATAATCAGGGTCCGACGTATCACAGGCAGCTTCCACTAGCCAAGCGGGTAGCACTTCCTTGCGCAGCTCGTCGCACGCCGAGCAGCAAAAAAGCCGATGGTGCAAGGTGTCCTTCGCGACACCACATAACGGGCAGAGACTCGACACCTCGAAATAGCCAGCCGCCTCAGCATCGGCTCCTGTCCAGAACGCACGACAAGCTTGAGCTCTCATGGCACCCTTGGCCTTGGCGGGGATCTTGGACGACGAGAGCTGCTGCTTGACCACATCCCAACACAGCCTGTACCCCACCCCGTACTTATCTCCAGAATCCCGCTCCAGGTTTCTGAGCACCGCGTCACGACACAAGACCTTGACTAAGCGGGGGGGGAAAGCGTCAGCGAAATGTCCCTTCCAAAGTCGTCCCTGAGGGTGGTAAAATCGGGCATATCCCACCCCAGACGGTAGATACACATGCGGAGGGCCGAGAGCGGCCCACGAACTTTAGACCACGAGTGGATGTCGTGGCTGAAGGTCTGCATCCAGCCCTCACGCAGATCCGCCCAAGACAAACACCACGGGAACGCACGAGTGTGGCACAACCAGATTTTTTTCGACCATCTGAGAATCGGCGCCACACTCGCTCGCCAGCACGGGTCTCCCTCAAGCAGGCTGAGCACGGCAAGGGAGCGCCCTTGCGAGCGTGGCTTAACACAAGACATA